CTTTTACACACGACACGAACTGCATCCCATGCTTTACCTTACATGTGTTATATTCTGATCTTGCTTTACCCTCCTTGCGTGCACGTACAGCAGAACATAATCTACTTAGTTTGTTTTGAGCTGAAAAAACAACGTTCACTTCGTATCTGGACGCGACTTTTTTAAGTCCGTGTGAAATGCGGTGAAGATAAGGAATGACTGAAACTTTCTTTTTTTCTTTTTTAACTGGTTCTTCTAGCATGGAATTGGAACTATTCTTTACGATTTTTATTAAACTATCGCATGCTGATGAAATAATCGAGTCTGGGTATCCTGAATCCCTAATCCTTTGAATTTGGGAAGTGAAGCTAACGCCCATTGTGTGAACACATGATTTTGTTAAGGCGGATTTCAAACAGGAATACACTATCCCTCTTTTGACGAGTTTCGAATGTGCTGACTGGTAGTTTAGCAAACTCTTTGATGTTCTAGAATGATACAACCAACAAATGTGTTCTATTTTAAATTCAACGAGGAGATCTAAAAATTGAATTCGACTCTCTTTTGGGGTCTCATAAGTGAACCTAAGGCCTTGGCCAAGCTCATGGAATACTTTAAGGACGTATTCTAGTGTTTTTTCACAATTGGAGTCTTCAACAAATACCAAAAAATCATCGACATACCTAAAGATCTTAATGGTGTGATTTTTCAATTTTTGAACTAGAGCTCTGCCTATCTTCCCGAGGAAAATATCGCTCAGTACAGGCGCTACTCTCGACCCTATACAAACACCTGACTTTTGAATGAACACTTTCTCCTCCCACCCTATAAAAGTAGATTTTAAATACATGGATAATAGTTCAAGGAAATGTTCAACTGTTATTCCGCATTGCGTTCTAAACTTAGTTTCGTTGTTATACTCCAAAATGCACTCTTGAACGCTTACCATGAGGTCATCATGAGGCAAAGAGTAGTATAAGTCCTCTACATCAATGCTGAATGCTGTGCACCCCTCTAGATTGCTGTCGCTTAGAAATTCGATAACCACCTTGGAGTTGGGGATGCGTAAAGGGTCAACGATTGAAAGGGAATTTAGTTGTTTTTGTAAATATCCCGAGATGGAGTGTTGCCAAGTGTTGCGTTCCGATACTATGGTGCGGAAAGGGATTCCCGGTTTATGGGTTTTAGCGGAGAAAAACACCATTAACGTTAGGTTTTCTCCTTTCTTGGCTGCTGACGCGACTTTCTCTAAGTTGAGTTGAGTGAGAAACTTAATGGTTCTTCTTTTTATCTCAGCTGGACGTTCCGATACCTCTCTAAAATTCTTTTGGATAGCTAAATGAGCTTTCTCGGAGAATGAACCATTAGGTATGACTACAAAACAGCCTTCTTTGCCGGATAGCAAAACATTCAAGTTGTTGGATGAGAGAAAGTTAATCGTAGGATCTAAACTGCGGGATCTTTTGGGGCTGCCTTCACTTTTCAGTAAGACGTCTACACATTCCGTGATGCACCTAGGTTTGTCCTCCCCTGGTACATTCCGTGAAAGGAACCTGGGCAAAACCAGTTTGTCTACGCGTTTAAGGGTGGGCTCGAAGCAAAACTTCGGTCCTTTTTTCAGGATGTTCTGGTGTGGTTCTGGGACAGGTATATCGCCCAAGACGACAACGTTACCTTCCCTTGGATGAGATTTCTTCTTGGGTGGTAATGTAAGACGAACCTGGTTCCAAAGGAACTCAGTGGCCTGTGCTGTGGTCCTTGACCATCCTGCTAAAAGACGAGAGGCTTGGTGCTGATTCCTTCCTCTAGAGCAGGCGATCCGAAGGCATTCCTTGAAATGGCGGACTTGTTGCCACCACTCAGAGCACAAAACTCGACACAGTCTTCTCGAGTGACCCGGAGATGGTACCAACCGCACGCCTTTGCCTGTTGCAAAGTGTGCAACATGCACCTGTCGGTGAGAGTAGGAAAGTTAAACCTTGACCGCCGCATGACCACGGTGAAATCAGTGTTGCACGCGTTCCTCAAAGAAAGGAACGAAAGGTCGTTCCTCGTTCCTTCTGATATTTGGAACGCGTTCCCGTTAAAAGCTTCATATGTAAAAATAAAACTCGTTCCCGTTACAGGTAAAAAAAGAGAACCTACCGTTACATATACGTTACATTTCTATTTTTCTGATTACCATATTTAGTTAGATCGAAAAAAAAGTTTTAATTTCTTTGTTTTTATCGATCTCATCAAATGGGAACATACGAATTTGAATGCCGCGATGGAAGAGCACCAGGAGACAAAAACGAGCGGTAGCAGGGTTTCATTTATTTATATATTCACCTTTAAAAATCTCAGCTTGTAACCATATTCATGTTTCTGGTGGGCGACTCAGACGAGCCAAATGTACTGCTACTCCACATTTCATGAGCGTTTTACAAAAACCTCACACGTTTCAATCTAACACAGTCTCTCGTTCGAACTTAACAACAGTTGCTTCTTGATGTTGCTGTGCGAAAGACGAGCGAGTGAAGAAGAGGGGGAGGCTTTTTGAAGGTCAGTCTTGAGCACTACAAGTCCTTCTTCATAAGGGTTGGATTCGTTCTTCAGTTTGAAGGTAGGGCACAAGGGGAGAAGAAATAAAGGTTAATGTTTGTGTATGTTGTAAGAGACCAATGTTCGGGATACAAGGGTCTATTCGATGTCTGGTAACCTGGCCTTTTGTTGCAACTATAGGTCTCGTTGTGGAAGTTCAGTGATGGCTGTAGTCGGCCTTAGATCTCCTGGTGTATGAGGATCCGTGGAAGCCAAGAAAGTAGCTGGAATAGAAACGTTCCTCTTTCTGTGTCTTTTCCTTCGACTGAACGTTTTGCTTTTAATAGCGCAGCCTCAGCCACTGAAAAAGGAATCGATGTCCTCTAGTTCTCCAGCACCCGACCGTTACCAAACGAGGGCCACAAAAATAAACCCTCAGATAAGTAACCAAAATGTGGCCGAACTCCTGCTCTTCGTAAAGATGTTGTTATTGTACTTTTAGAATTTCCCTTTTAGAAATAAAATAAAAATGACCCCACTGGACAAAAAGAGAAAAAAAAAAGAAACAGAACGCTGTCTTTTTTTACGTTCCAGTAAAAATGTAACAAGTTTCCGTTCCAATTCCATCGATGCTAAATAAAACAGCGGCGTTCCTTCGGTCCTCCTAAAAGGAACGCGTTCCAGGAGCGCCGTTCCGCGCAACACTTCATGTTACAGGGTGCCGTCTTTCGATCGCTCCGGCACATGGGCATTTTTGGGTTGGTTGTACAAAACTTTATTAGGAATTTTCCCTTTAAAACTACCGTCCACCTCTGTGCTGTCAGTTAGCTTTTTCCTGACCACCCCATATCCTTCTTGCGCTTTTTAATAATAATGAAATTGTGAAGTATGTTTATGTGCACGCCCCATTTATGGCAACCGCGTTAGCGTCGATTTGGCCATATTTCTCGCTTTACAACTTCAAATCCACACAAGTATTGCATTATGTTTTTGCAGATTCTTTCAGTGCTGTTGAGGGCTAGGAAACAGACAGGCCGGAGACCAGGTTTGGGCTATATGCCCAAACGATGTTTTAATGGGACATGAGATGATTGTAGCGTCCGGTAGTAAGTCCCATTCCGCTTCCGCGCGGTTGATTGATTAAAATGTTTATTATGTGAACCATACCCTGACCTATTGGCCTCATGTGGCACGGGGGAGGGGAAAGAGGGGTTTAGCGATGACGATGGGTTAGATGTACCGTCCAGTCCCGGAGGACCGGAGGTAGGAGATGGTTGATGAAAATACTAGTGTTCGGTAAGCAGGTCCTGACGTCCTCGGGTGGGTCTATTCCCGTAGGGTCGTCGGTCCTCCGCCCCTGTCCGCGGGTCCCCCTTTTATAGTCGCGGTGACGTACCGGCGAAATCCTGGTGTGATGGGTGGTGGCTGCTGGCTTCGATGAAGATGAGGTACAACAGCCACTCTCATTGGCCCGGAGGTTTATTTCATCGCAGCAACAGCTTCTCTTGATGTTGGAGAAAGAGGAAAACGAAGACTTGTTGATGTTGGTTACTTCAGCTGATGTTCGAGAGCCTTGGTTCGGGGTCTTCGAGTGGGTCTCTGCCGAGCGATGGTGTTGCGGACTGTCCCTGTAAGTGTGCCGCAGAGCAGGAGGCCGCGCCGAGGTTTGGAACGTAACAGTAGATATTAGGGACGTTATTTCGGAGAATTTAAAGGATATTAAGGACGGCCTGTTTTTTTAAATACTTTTCAAAATAATGCATATTTAGATAAATGCCCCTGCAGGAGAATTCTTGTGAATTTCTCTCACTAATCAGGACAACAATATTTCTTGTACAGATGAACTATATAGAGGGCCACACACTGGCAAAGTTTGGAGACCTTAGCTTTTATAGATACGGCTAGGAAAAAAAATCTTTAACCCAGAGCGTTATTGCGCAATGTGCCGTATTTGCGATTTTGTTTCTCGAAATAGCGACCCTAATTGTCGGTGATTAACACTTCTTGTCAATCGTTCCTATGCCTAATTTGTCAGGAAATATTTCTAAACCCGCAGCCAAAAGTTTCCCTTTTTTTTTTTTTGGGGGGGGGGGGGGGGGGGGGGGAGGCCTCGGAATGCCGCTCGGAATGCCAACATCGCGGGATACGAAAAACGCGCACGTGACTGTGGGGGTGCTTACAAATTGTTTCCGCAAAGACATTTTTTTCTCTAAAACAAGGGTTGGTTTTATTTTTCTAGGCATGGAGCGAGCAAAATATTTTTTTTTGTCGTCAAAATTAAAAATGGTTACCGGACATGGTTGTTCGATCTTATCTGAAAACGCCCCATATCATTTGAGTGTCCCTCTAAGCGAGAAGCGGTCTCCAGCAACCCATCTCGATATCGCAGTCACGTGAGTCATATAACGCTGTCTTTTAGATAAGGAAGAATGTCCCGTCTAATCGGGCTTTGTCTTTGTCTTTTCGCGGTCACCCCCGCACTCTGGAAGAAAGAAAAAAGAATCGCCGACGGATACATTTTAACCACGGTTGTTCGGCGACGTCTCGCGCTTTCGAGCTCGCTGCAGCACGACTTGAGTGGTAACAGCGTTCAGTGTCTCTGTGCTGGGACCAGCGGTTGCTCTCGAAAATATGGGACAGGCGAGGTCTCGGTTCCTGAGCGTTTCGGTGCAGAGTTGCCGGCATTTCACGAGATCGGAGTCAACCTGCCGAGAGATCGGTATCCTGGGAGCCCCTCTGCGTTCTGGTCAGGTGAGGAAACCTTCGCTCAGAGTCCTTCTGGGGCAGGTCCCTTTGGGGACCGTGTGTTACTACCGCGCCTGGCACGCGTCTCCGACTGGTGCGTTTAGCGTCCCGTTCCGCCCGTGCTTCGAAACCACCGCTGTTCTGACACCGCCAGGGGTCGGGACCGGCGACAGCATAACGCTTCTATGACGTCATCAGTCGGATGTCGAGGGACCGCCTTGTTAAAACGATTTTAAACCCACCAATCCCAGGACGCATTCCAGTGATACGAAAAGAGGCCCTCTGCCGCTAGCGCTATGTAGCGGGAAATGATGTACAATACCGGGGAAAAAAATGTCAAGAACTAAAAGCCGACGCATCACCTTGGAAGCTGAGAGTGAAGGGCGAGATCGCCATATAAGTTGCGCGTCATCCCGCCGCAATTGATGGCGTCTGCAGAGCAGTCTTGTACACTTTACTCGAAAAAAGTAATCGATTACAAGTACTCTTTATTAAAAAAGTATTCAATTAGCTTACTCGTTTACTTGAGGCGAAATATATTCGGCCATTGTTCGAAAAAACAACCGCTATTTTTCAGATTACTTCAAATTTTCGGAACGACAGATTTTCTGCCGGTTTTGAAAAACTGGCCTTTCGTGGTGTCTATTATTGGATTAAAATCGAAAATTAAAGATACATATATTCTTAATTCATCAATTTTCTTAAACCCGCCCTTCTCTCGGAGACTTGTTTCTAGAAATTATTGGTTGGAAACTTAAGCGGAGAGCTGGTCGTCTGCTTCTTTTTCAGGGGTTGTTGTGACGTCAGAACGCCGAGCTCTGATTGCATCTGATTAAAGGATAGTGGGTAGAGTTCAAAGCGAGCTGCCTTCAGGTCTGCCCACTATCTTTCATTCAGAACCAATCAGTACTAGGCGTCTTTTTGACGTCACCTGAGCTTCTGCTAAAGGAACAGACGATCTAGAGCTCTTCACAGAAACAAAGTCCGCCATTAGAATGGGGAGGGAAGGGAGCAGTAACGGCTATACGTAATTTTACTACTTCCTAAAGTAATCAAATTACTCTTGAGATTTCTTCCTAATAAATGCATTCAAATGATTACAAAATTACTAGAAAAGAAGTTGAGTACAAGTAATTTGACTACTTGTAGTAAGTACCGTACAAGTTTGCTGCAGACTTAAGGCCGGCAGCAGAGCACTCAGTTAACGCTTCATGAGCGCTGCAAGCAGCGCTCATGTAGCACGGACTTGCGCGTGACGTAGCGCTCGGTTAGCGCTTTAGTAGGCACTCAGTTAGCGCTTCAGAATCGCTTCAGTAGGGGCTCGGTTAGCGCCTCAGCAGCGCAGTGTAAGCGCTCGCACGCTCCTTGCGCCGTGCTTGCTGCTGCGGAACAGCGCGTGCACGGCGATTCCGTTTTTGTTGTTCTTCCTTTGGCATTGAAAGAAAGAGGAAGTAAAAGAGCCGCTCTCCAAGCAAAGGGTCAGGTAGACGATCTAAAGTCGTTGACTCTGAGCGACTAATTGATTGGGTACGACCTCGTCACTTCCTATTCGATATGCGTGACGCTGGTTTCAAAGACACGCAGTTAAATATATTCGCCTTCGAAAGTGCGGTGTCTCGGTCCCTCAGCCTAAGAACAAGGTTCGCCGGGTACCCGTCGGTATCTCGGTGGCGAAAGATTTCGTATACCCAGAAGGCTCTTTGGGCGTTAAGTCGTCCACACACATGTGCAGTAATTGGGTATGTAAGAGAACTTGTCGCGTTCATATTTCAGCGTCCCCCATGTCCGGGACGGTACTCGGGGGCTATGTTGCGCTTTTTGCACTCCCAGGAGACTAGGGAGAAGAAAGTAACGTCAACAACGCAACAAATACAGATTGGATGTTGATTTTTTTTTCTTCTGTCAACATCCAATCTACGTTTGCTCTAGTCGTTGACGTCACTTCCTTCTTCCAAGTCTCCTGGGAGTGGAAAAAGCGCAACATAGCGCCCCTGTTGCTGCACACCCAACCACAAGAACCGGAACCGCCGTACAAGAAGCGCTAACATCAAGCGCTAACAAGGCGCTAAAAAAGCGATAATGGCGTGCTATATTAGAACTAAGTCACCCGTTAGGAAGCACCACATGAGCGCCCTTCAAAGCTCTCACGTAGCACTAACTTAGCGCTCCGCTGTATGTGTGAACAGGAGGCAGCAGAGCGCTTACTTTCGCAAGACTGCTAACTGACTGAAAGCCTCATAACCACGGGTAACGGAGCACTACACAAGGTAATTCAGTTCATCTGAGAGCGAAGCCAAAGCTACAAGCACGAGCATGTTGCCCTTAGCGATGCTCGTGCATCAGTAATGGAGAAAAGAACCTGAGTTCGCTCTTGTAACTTGTGCTGCGATTTCAGCAGACACATCATTTTCATTATAGTCGCCGTCTTTTCTGGAAAATGAGAAATTAGGTATTAACGCATCTAGTAGTCCCTTAACGAATTTCTAATGAATATCGACGAAACTAATCTAAGAAAGCAAGCTGGATCAGGAAGTTTACCGCCGGTGGGGAAGCCTTGTGAACCAGAAACTGAAACAATTCACTTTTTCAAAATCATGGTTCCTGAGGTTCTGGTGCGAAAACTGATGTTTTCGTTTCATGAATTTGTGAACGACCATGAGAGGCTTTCAATATACAGGATGTTCTTCTTTTAGGCTCTCAAGTTTGTTTCTAAAAGATCGTGAAAGCTGCACCATAATCTGGTCTGTGCATGTGAGTTATGCGGCCATAGGGACATTGTATAGGGGGATAATTGTCCCGATAAGTCAGATAATTGGCTAAAGAATGTTGATTATCTTTATAATTAGTGAAAATAAGTGAGCGTCATTGAAGGCCCCCAAGTCAGTAAATTTCAAAAAGATTTGGAGTCGTGCAACAGGGCTCGAGAAGCAAAGACACGGATAAGATTATCATCAGCGTTTTCTCATATTGTTACGCGAGTTGTAGCCAGTGCATCACTGCACTTCCTATTCATTCCAAATTTTTGTAAAATTTACTGATTTCGTGGTTTTTAATTACGCTCACGCAATTTAGATAATCTCAAAGTTAATAAACATGCCTTAGTTATTTATTCGATATATTGTGGCGAATAGCTCAGTATTGATGTCCCCCTGGCCATATTACTCACCTGCACAGACATGATTAGTCTAGCTTTCACGGCCTTTTCTCAATACATTTGTAAAGCCTATGCGCCAACTCGTGTTTACAAACAAACCTGAACGCCCTTAGCGACACGCCACCGGCGCTGCGCATGCGCGATGGGGTGTGCTGAAGAAGCGCGTAGTCCTGCATCAACAAACCATTGGAATGTAAGGTTGTCAGCGTCGGAGTAAATCCCCGTGCTCTTTTTTTTTTTTTTTTTTTCGTTGGAATTGTTGATTCTAGGTCTTTCTAGCAATGTACTACTACTTTAGTGGCCTGAGAGAAATTAACAAAATTAACGAGACCACAAAACTTCGCGTAAATAATCTGACGTGCGGCGATTCATACCGCGTGAACGCCACAAAATGTACACTAAATACCGATTCACGCGACGAGATTCTGCTCGCTATTTTCAGTCGCGACGTCGCTCAGGCTCCAGAGGCGTGGAGCTGCGATGCATTTAGCGCCATTTTGCGTTAGTGTGACACTCTTCTGCGCCCAGGCTTCGTATCATCTGCGAGAAATACTGGGAAAAATATAGGAGCTATCTTCCGATCGTAAGGGATCGTATCTCGAGCCGGATGCTCGCGATACGACTTCTGGAAATCGCTCGATTAGAAATAAAGGACCTCCCCTTTCTTTTAGCGATAAAGGCTCGCGCGACTGGCTCTTGGAATATAAAGACCAGCGCCTCCAAACCAGGATTACCGAACAGAAAGCACCTGTTAAAGGCTAAAACCGCGAGAACAATACTCCGTTTAAGTTTCTAGATTTTACGGATCCGAATAAACGGATTAGCGTCGCTGAATTAATAGGGCATACTAGTTTTGTGCACAGCTCTGTAGATCTGTGGTCTTATAGCCACAGGAAGTTGTCTCAAAGTATATACCGATGGTGCCAATGCATTACTGTATTTTCTGTATTAATAAAAAAAAAAAAGAAGAAGACTATGGATCGTCGAACGCCCAGATTCCGGCCAATTGTTGCGCTAGCGGTCCGAATCACATGCAATCTTTTTTTTTAGAACTAAGCGTTCTTTTAATAAAAGGTTATAAATATTTTTGTTAATTCTCAATTGAAAAATGCTAACCGATATAGCCCAAGGGTAAGTGGGGTTGCATGGCGTCAAGTACCCAAAATGGCAGCCCTGAAAGTGGCCATTGATACTTTCAGTAAAATGCATAACTTTTAGATAAGGAAACGGTTAGTTTTGCAACTTTGGCATTTGGTTCGGTCCGCTAGTGCCACAGTGGGGCAGAAACTAAGCCTTCAACAAATCGTGTTCTTTTTTTTTTGTTTTGTGTTTTAATGTGCAAAAAGTTATTTTAGTTATTTTTGTTTTCGGGGACACGTTGTTTGTGATAGACTAGATGGTAACCGGACAAAAGCTCACCGGACAAAAGCTCACCGGACAGAAGCTCACCGGACAAAAGCTCACCGGACAAAAGCTCACCCGTTTTTTCACAGACCCGGACAAAAGCTCACCCGTTTTTTGACAGACCCGAACAAAAGCTCACCTCGATTTCTTTTTTTTTTACTATCCGGGCGAAACACGGGCTGAAATAAAGTGCGGACGCAATCGACATTGGACCATTTTCAGGAGAACTTGTACCTCATCCACCATTGAGTTGAGAATTTTTTTTAAAAATAATTTGAAAGAACGGGAGTTCGGCCTTTTGGAAAAGTACAAGACAGATGACCAATTTAAAAAAATTGTGCGGTATTTTAGATAGGCTCGGGTTCCTTCCACCACAGCTTGTTCCACAAGAACTGACCACCAGGCAAAAGCCTACCGGTGACATCGCTACCTACTGGACTATTTTGAT